AATATATTCAAAAGTCTTACAATTAATTTATGATTTATTAAATTAGCTCTCTTTTTTATTAAACTAACAACAAACTTTTATCCAAACTGTAGATTTGTCTATCAAGTCTAGAAAAAGCAATCTATTTTCTTTTATAATAATCCTCAAAAATACTACCTTCTAGTAAAGTCATTAGCTCGTCTAATTCTGTAGCAGAGCACTCAAGTGGGTTTAAATTATTTTTGATAATATTTAGAAATCTATCATCTTCTTACCTCTGAACCTCTGAAATATGATTGATAAATTCTTTTATGCAAGAAAATATCTTAATAATTCCTTCTTACATTGAGTCAAGTTTTAGTAGGATTTTACTATAATCATTTTACCCCTATTGAAGGACTGTATTTATTTAATTGTAATTTTTGGACAATTATTGGACAAAGTTATCTTTTGATATTATCTATTCTGGTTGTATTTTTCGGGTTAAAATGCATTCAATACATAACTTTCTTTAAGATTTAGTGTTAAGATTTGATTTGTAAAAGCCTCCAACTTAATAATTTGGATGCTCTTAACAATAATAATTATTTTAATTCATTAAATAAATAATTAAAATAAAGTATGAAAAATTATGTTAAAAATTTGAGGAAATGCTTAACCATTAGATCAAATTTCAAATAAATGAAATATTTTTCAGTAATACCATAATAATTATAAATATTTCTATTAAATACGGTTTAAATCTACTCTTTAATAAATAATTATCTTAATTAAATAACATAGAAATAAGGTTATGATTAATAGGAATAAGACAATAACCATTATGCCAGACTGAAATAGATGGATATTTTTGATGTGCTAGCAAGTAGACAAAAAGTAAAATATTCAAGTCACAAAATATTAAAACTAAAAAGTTAAGCATAATTAAACTTTCAATTAGTTCTAAAATATCTTGGAATATGTAAAAGAATTTTAGTTATTCCATTATTGAAGTTTGTAGTAGTAAACAAATCTTAAAAATCCTGTTAAATATGATGAGTAAATACTATTTAGTACATATATTCAATTCCAAGCTACTTATCAATTTATAAAAAATAGATAACAATAGAGATAAAGGCAATAAAGATCTCTGTGGGCTATCATCTTAAGGTCCTGAAACTGTATTAGGACCAGAACAGAAAATAAGGTGGTGGTCCTTCATCTTACTCTCAAGTTCCTTAGGCTTCATATCCCTTCTGGCTATGTTTGAAGGAATTTCACTGGGATCCCTTTCCAGTTTAGGTAAATTTTAGAATTCCGGACTGATTGGACTTTGATAAGATTTGATTACAAGATATTTTAAATATATAATCAAGATTAAAAGTGAAGATCATTTGAGTTAATCAATTATTATATTCATTAATTATATTTTATAATATAATTTATTAAATAAAAAAATAATATTTTAATAGAAAATGGAATTATAAAATATCTTATTTTATTAATTATAAATAAAAGCTTCTCTATATAT